AATAAAATAGAATATAATAATCAATTATCAAACGATATGGCAAAAGAAAAGAGAAGAATGGTGCAAATTATAAATGTCTTCTGTTCAAAGTTCTGTATTCATTTATGTTATTCAAATATTCAAAAATTGATTAGAATAAAATAGAATATAATAATCAATTATCAAACGATATGGCAAAAGAAAAGAGAAGAATGGTGCAAATTATAAATGTCTTATGTTCAAAGTTCTCTATTCATTTATGTTATTCAAATATTCAAAAATTGATTAGAATAAAATAGAATATAATAATCAATTATCAAACGATATGGTAAAAGAAAAGAGAACAATGGTGCAAATTATAAATGTCTTCTGTTTAAAGTTCTCTATTCATTTACGTTATTCAAATATTAAAAATTGGTTGGAATAAAACAAATATAAATTTAAAAAATTAGTATTACTAGACACTGGTGACCACTATGGCCCCACTAAGGAAACCAACGCTGGTCATCGATGACCGCCATGACAGTCGACGTGTTAACCCTTTGCGCTCGAGAGGTGACTCTCGGTCGCCATTTTCTTTTTTGCCGTAACTTAAATAACAAATAAAAGACAATAATCATATTAATAACAGCTACACGTGAAATATTAAAATAAAATAACTCTATTCGTTCGTTTCTCGAATACGCGAATACGTGATTACCTTTCTTAATTTCAGCAGAAAAATGATCAGTAAGCTTATAAAAATCAAAGGAAAGCTTCGAAACTCTTCCTTTCTTTTCAACCTTAAATTGAAACTTTTCTTTACACCGAAAAAATCTTCGTGTGCAAAGTGTTAATTACGATTAGTAAGAAAGACCCCAACGCTCGTTCAAGTACCCAAAATATCCACCCCAAGGAAACCGAGGATTTCTCGATATCGATTCTACCCAAGCATAGTCCTCGATGGAATTTCCAATGGGAACCAACAACCATCTGACGATGGAGGAAAAGAACTCTCGAAGCACTCGCGCAACGAGGACCAGAGGTGCCCGGTGCGCGTGGGGAAGCCCAGTTATTCGCGGTCCTGGCGTGCGTCGCGACGCCTCGTGCTCGGGAACGAGTGCCAACTGGTCGCTGGTAGCCGGTCGAATCTCCGATACCCCGCGTGGAACGTAAACCGGATACCCCCGGGCACGTTTTAGAGCCCATGAAAATGGCTTTACACCCGTCCTCGCGCCTTTTCTCGTCCGCGTGTCGTAAAATTCGTCGGTCGATTCCGAGAGGAATCCATTGGCCACGCCAGCAGACTCGGTGGGCATTGTGTCGTCTCGGGTTTGCGAGCCAGTGCCAAAGAGTGAGTCGAGAAATGCGTCGCGATTCGATGCCTAGTAGCCTGCTGCGAGCCATCGGAACCGTGCGGTCTGACAACTAACGAGGACTGGGAGGACTGACAACTAGAAGGATCACGGACTGACTGACCCCTGGTGTCAATTGGTCCGAATTGACAGCTTACTGCGAAATTTGCACCGCGTTCCATCGAGCACCGACAGGGTGAAAGTGGCGCAAAAGAACAGTCGGTGGAGCGGGCAGGCGACGTCATCGGGCCTGGTCAGCGTCGCGACGCCTCGTGCACGTTCAGTGCGAGGCTGTCGGTCGCGTGGCGAAGCTACCCTCACTCTCGCCTAGCTAATCGTCGAGGACACGTGGTTGCACGGATCGATCGATCCATCCGCGATCGGCGCAACACGGTGCATGTGCACGAGGAAGAATCACGGTGACCAGGGTCGGAGATAACGAGTGTTCGCCGACAAAGGCCTTGACGCTGCGCGACACACATACACCACCGTGTAGTGAATATTTCAATAGCGTATCGATCTAGCGCGCATACCGGACACGTGTGTGCCTCGCGATCTCTGTGTGCTGTCAACTCTTCCGTTTGGTTCCACGCAGCTCGGTTCCCCGCGTCGCTCTTCAACCACGCAGCGGGCTAATCAGCAGGTACTACCACGCCAGGACACGTTCACCAAACGTCCTCCGTCGTTGTGATCGCGAGATATTAACGAGACCATCGATCCATCCACTCTGTGTTGTCTCTCGTACACATGCATACACCGTGTGTTTCCCGCTGTCCATGTTTGTGAATCGTCGCGTGGGATTATTCATGACAGAACGAACCGTACACTCGTGGAACGTTCTCGTGATCCCTGATGTCCTTTGTGCGCCAGTGAAACGGATCCTGGACCAATCCAACCGAAGCTTCCTCTCCTGACACTCCTCGAAATCCAGCAATACCTCTATGATCGTGATCCGATCATCGGTCAGACTGTCTCGCGTTGCATCGATCGTCCTTTTTCACGCTTCGCTCTGTATTTTTGGGTAGACGTAGAACCTGGTGTCGCCAAGACTAATCTCGGTGATCACTCACCGAATCATTCCGTCCCTGGTCCTTAACGATCGTCCCTCGCAGTGGATAACCGATGTCTGTTGCTTGCTGTCCGCTTTCCATGTCGCGAGGGTCCAGCGTGGCAGCGCAAGGTGCTTTTCCCTGACAGACGAACGAAAGCAGTCGAAGGTGGCTCCTCTGCGTGTTTTTCTTGCCGGAAGCGAAGCGTTCAGTTTTCAGTAACTTAGAATCGAAGCGTAAATCCCATCTGAACCCTGCAACTCCCATGGAAGAGGCGGTCCGTTTTGCCTGGCAGTGTCGTAACGCGGAGTAACGAGCAGTTGCCAGTCGACTGCAGGCTAGAGGTTCCGGGAAGAGGGACATGTCCGTGGAATAGAAGGCGTGGTGAAGGTCTTCGAGATCGAGGGTAGTCGTGCATTCGAATGTTCCTTTGTGCGAGCAGAGAATAGGTACTCGTCCGGTATTAGAGGCGTCAGTTTGATGGGTCGAGAAGAATATTTTTCGTTCCTTTTGGACCAAAGAATAGCGAGTCACTCGGAGACCTAACTCCTCTTCTCTCGGAGACCTAGGTGCAGAGGAACGTCCTGGTCTTCATAGTGACAGTCAACATTCTGTCAAAAATAAGAGAAATATGGGATCCCGCGAAGAAGTCGTAGATCTCGAAAGATCCCTCGGATCTAGGATAACCTCGACCCTATTCCCATCTGCCACGAAGCACCGAGCACCACCTGCACCTAAATTTCACCCACTGCTGGCCCTCGGCAAGAGGGTCGAGCCTTCGATTAGAATAGATCAATCTCGAACGGTAAAATTATTCAGACGGTATCAATGGATCGAACCTCTAATGTTCCTCGACGTTAGAGCCAGGCTGAGGCGACTGCAGTCGATGTTCCAGGTCGACCCGCAGGTATCGAGCCCTGGAACGGCTCTGGCGTCCGCGTTTCATCGGCTGCGCCGTAAACAGCGAACGCTGTCGTGACAAGACAGTCCTTGCGGCTGCGGCAGATCAATCGAGAGGCTCGACTATTAAAGTCAGTGTCGCTGGGTCAGGCAAACAGTCCTCCCCTGGCGTGGAGGGCACGTTTCGCGCTGCCTGCGACTCCGGCGCCGCGACGTCGCGTTCGGGTCGTAGTGTTGGGGATGGGACGGTGCCGATCCTTCGAATCCGTCGGTTCCACGCGCAACAGTTATGTCGAATCGTCGAGTGAAACGCGTAGGACCGAGTAACAATCAGGTAGACAACGTTTGAGACGGTACGTAGGCCACAGTAGCTGATATTCCGATTTCCAAGTTCCGTGTGGGTGACAGGACTTTGGTGTCATTGTTTGGTGGAACGAGTTCGGTAATTCGTAATTCAGACGAACATGACGAGCAGTGTCCATGAGAGAAGAGGTATATACAGCGGAGGGTAGGTCGACCTACTATGCTTGCCAGATAAGCAGCGATGCGACGAGGATCGAGGCCCGAGACCTGGGCCCTATACCGACAGGGCGTGTCTTTATTAGAACCATAAATAAAGAGGACCCGTGATTCTCGCGTGACACGCGATCCCTCATTTCCGAGGTGTAATTATAATCCTAGACCTTGAGTTCCGCTGGCGAGCTAAATCGAGCGTAGTTAGATCGTCTTTGCAGAGGCACAGGCTGGCTCGGGTAGCTTTATAAATCGTGTGTTCCCCGATGATCTCATGCCGCATCATCCTCGGCTTTTTTCGCTTATGACGGGATGACACTTGGACGAGGACGAGAAACCGCTAGGTTCAGGTACAGAACACGATGGTAGCTCGCCAAGTGGACGGAGAAAGAGATCGGGAAACTAGTTATCTCGAAGCGGGCCAAGCGACGGTAGGGTTCCGAATTCACAGTGGCTCGTAGCGCGTATGAACATTCGAGACAATCGCGTTTGATTCGAGGCAAGTGGAAGTAAAGTCGTCCCGTGGCTGTCGCGTGGAGAAAGAAGGGAAAGGAGCCATGACGCCGATGGCGAGCGGGAAATCCCCGAAGGACGGGCAAAGTGGCACGGAATAGGAGTCTAGTCTACGCTCTGCTGGCGACTGGCTAGACGCGAGAACGGCAGTGGGCATCTTAGTTTTCCCTGAGCTTGGAATTCGCAAAAGCTGACGATGGCAAACCGAACCTATTCTTCCGACCCGAAAGACCAAACTCCCTAACGAATGGAACGACTCGGGTTGTGCCAGGTTACGTTTAGTTCCCTGAAAATTTCGTTCTTTCGGTGAAATCCCCTCGGGCCAAGTGTCTAAACCGACGTCCGGGTCGCAAGTGCAGTCGTTCGGGTCGAGTCAGCGGGTTCGTTGGCCCGTTGAAAGTTCACCGACGAAAGAACGCATTGGTCAGGACACTCTACCTATCCTCCCGTAGAAGGTGAACCCATGAAAGAAAGCTTAAAAACAATCGCGTCCGGAGTTGTTAGAGAAGGGACCCCGAGCATAGGGAAGCTGCCTAGGGACGCTTTCGTGATCGTCGAGCACCGTCACCACCACCACCGGCGCTGCTTCTTCCACGCGCTATAAAGCTCGAAAAAGACCGACTACCCTTGGGCTTGAAAGCATCACCACTCCTGACCACCGCGTATCACGGTGAAAAACGAAAGAAAGCAAGTAGAAACGAAACCTCGCTCTTCCCAGCTCTGTCTGTCTCTGTCACACTGTTCTGCCTGTCCCACACTTGTCAGTCATGAATCTTATGTTCCGCAAGAACTTCAGCGGCGAGAAGGGACTCGGTGGTGGTGGAGGAGGAGGCGGCGGACTGGAGGGTCGGTCGACCCTCGGCACCGCTTACGGGCCGTCCACTTTGGGGTACACGGGGACTCGGTTCGGCGTGGTGCGCGGCGCCGGCCAGTCGGCCGTCGGGACGCGCGCACCGATCCGACGCAGCAGAGAGTTCGGCTACTTCCCCTCGATGGCCGATCACGAGCACCAGGGCTTCGGCTACCGGACTCATCTGTTTCTCACGCCACCGACAGGCGGCGCCCTCGGCTCGCCGCCGGATGAGCCAACCGAGAGGCTTGGGCCGCCACCCAGGAAGAACTCTGGGCCCCATGTGATCAAGTGGGGCGGTGGTGGGGGCGCTGGCAGTGGTTCGGCGCAGGGATCCGGAGCTGGGGGTCAGGCCAGGAGGAAACAGGTCCAGACTGCGCAGCAGAAGGAACCCTCGGAACCACCTACACCCACTGCTTCGAGACAGGTAGGTGGAGCTTTGGATTTAGGATCGGATTTAGGGCTGATTCGCTCGGTGTGGACTCGAAGATCAATTCTAGGGACCCGAAAGGGGGTCCTTGAAAAATATGCATAATAATTTCCGTATGTCTATGCGTGAGCTGCAAACTGTCAAATGTTAGGGTTCTCCGAGTAGCCTTTGAGTCTACTAGCCAGCGAACCACCCCAAAACTTATCATACCAGTAAAATCATACTTAGCAGATTTAACTCTGAATAAAATTTATGCAAATTCCAAAACTCGTACAATTTTGTAACAGAATAAAGTGTAGGTGCACAGTGACTGCACACGGTGAATTAAAAGTAAATGCTGTTTCGATATGCACATTTTTAGAATCAAATCTAGTAATGCAAGGGATTAAAAGAACTTTGCGTTGATTGTCAGGATTTGATCGACTTCGAGGTCATTTCAGGGTCAAATTGGCACCGCAATTACAATTGACATTAGATAGGAGAACTTTTAACCGATCAAGAGATACGAAGTTAACTCGTTCTTTTAACCTCTTTTGATACATCAGTCGATACGTCAGGAACGATATTTTTCAATGAACTTGAAGAACTCGTTTCAAGGTAAACACGATTATCGATGTGATGATCAGACAATTTGAGAGAGATGTTTAAGAGTAGCGAAATAAGAAGAATGCTAACGAGCACGCAACTGAAACCGTGTTCCAATCTTACCTCGTGGTTCTCCAAGATGGCGGAACTAATCCGCAGTCGCGTCGAGGAAAAGATTGATGCACCTTGGCCGGACGCGTGATCGTTCGCTCGTGTCTAATCAAATACTTCGGTTCAGGTGTCGGGAATGTAGGTTAAATTTAATCAACCACCGCGGGCCGGTGAACTACTACCTCCGGCAAGCAAAGACCCGTGGCAATCCAAGAAACCCAATCCCGATCAATGGTCGGTACACCTATGTACGTCGACAATTCCACGGCGAAACAGGCCGTTCCAGACCGGCCCTATATCAACCCCTTCTCGATCCCTCGCGACGAGGAAACATTGACCAACGAGGATCGTGCATCGCTCGTTGGTTGGTCGTCGTAGAATCCCGAATCCTTACAAAACGTATCGCCAACTGAACGGGGATCGCAAATCTTGTTTCGCTGCGGATACGATGTTCCCGATGACGAATCGGGGACACGGTATCTAACGTTATCTCTCTCGATTAGAACCTTGTCGCCTTCTCGAGGACAGGGTGAACACGGAACGGGCAGCCACGCTGACCAAGCGTCAGCGCGGGGCTTTTTCTTCGGGGCAGGGGGCTGGATGGGTTCGTCTGGGCGCAAATTACACCTGGGTAACCTGTTCTCCGAAGGAGAGACCGGCTGTATCGACGAGTGTGGCTACCTGAAACACGGCCGACCGGACGCTCGCGACGATATTTCAGCGCGAAGTACACGCCTCGGGCTGGGTGCACGAGGGTACACGCGGGATAGTTTCGCGGCCGGTGGAATTATGGAGGAAACGAGGGGCCGTGCACGGAACGACCCGCATAAACTTACACCTACGCTATCCTCCTGGCCGGCACGCAAACTCGCTATCTTATTGCACGCCAAGGCGGATCTCGCGACGTACCATAAATTTCCGGCGAGCCGCCCCGACTCTGTTCGATATCCTGCGCTCATTGTGCTCGTTCCGCTGGAAACTCTGCTCGATCGGACCCCAATTCCCGGATGGATCGTTGCGTCGGATGTTTCGATTGTTGAGAACGAGTGCTGCAGTGGATTTTTTAACGCAGTCTGGGGAGCGTTTCGGGTATTTGGAGTTGGGGGTTGCTGCGGTGTTCGATGTGACTGTGTACGATGATTGAGGGAAGCTAGGATTTTTCGGGAGTTTACAGGTTTCGGATTTACATGGTCTAGGGAATTATTGTGATTTTTGATAGTGGAATTAATAGACTAGTCAAAAGAGCGGGGTGGATTTTTGGAGGTTTTTAGGGGGTTGTAGAGCGAGGGTTGATATCGTGTACTAAGGGATTAGTTGAACGAAATTAGGATTTTTGGGGGGTTTAGAGGTTTGGGATTTATACGGTCTAGGGAATTAATGTGATTTTTGGTAGTGGAGTTATCAGACTAATTAAAAGAAGATTTTTAGAGTTGTTTAGAGGGTTGTAGAGCAAGGGTTGATGGTGGTGTACTATATGATTAGTTGGATGACGATGGGATTTTTTGGGGGTTTAGAGATTCGGGATGATATGGTCTAGGGAATTAATATGAATATTGATAGTAGAATTATCGGATTAATTAAAAAAACGGAGTGAATTTTTGAAGTTGTTTAAGAGTTTGTAAAGCGAGGGTTAATATGGTGTATTACTTGATTAGTTGGACAAAACTAGGATTTTTTGGAGATTTAGAGATTTAGAATTCACATAATCAAGGAAATTAATATGGATATTTATAGTATAATTATTAGTCGAATAAATAAATTTGGAATTAGTATGGTCATTAATACTGAAATTATCAGGCGAATCAAAGAATTATAATAATCGAAAAATAATCTTATGGATTCGTTTAAAAGTTTGTATAATTAATACAGTTATTGGACACTACAGTTATCAGATTAATTTAAGAAATAAAGTAATTTTTTAGAGTTGTTCAGAGGTTTGGAATTGATATAGTTATCGAGGCAAGAGCAATCAGATTGACCGTGGTTTAGAATTAGTATAACCTAGGCAATAAATAAAATTATTGACACTATAGTCATCACATTAATCAAAAGAAAATGGAGATTTTTTAAAATTGTTCAGAAATTCGAAATTAATATGTTTGTCGACACTAGTGCTATTAAACTTTTCTCAGATTAGTTAAAGATCTAAATTCCACGACAGCCATACTAATTTATCCAAAATATTTTATCTCCAAATTTTGTCACGCTGCCAAAAATTTAATTACATCTACATCTTGAGCCCTCGTTCTTAGCATAAACTAATACTCATTTTCCCCAACATGAAAGAAATTTAATTCAATTCTAATCTCTAACATTACCATCCCAAATATAGTACAACTCTATAATTCTACGCAACCTATCATTACACGTAATACGTTGAAAATACATTTAGCCCTGTACTGAAATCTAATACACAGTAATAAGTAGCTTCATATTACAAGTCAGTAGTTCCAATGTTGACCCGAACAACGACAGTGTATAGCAAACGAGAATAATCGAATACTCGAGTCGCTGACCTTACAATCCATCGTTAATTGGAGAAATGAAAGAAAGTACTTTGATAAATTAGGGGGTACGTTCCCCCACTGTGGAGTGACGAATTATGGCCATTTCTCATCGACGATCGGGCGACCAATGGAGTATTAAAATTTTACGACACCACTCGGATAAATTTCAAAATTCAAACAGCATTGAACTCACCTTATGGAACGTAAAGCTACTCACCCTGTCTATTAGGTCAATTTTTACAGCATTTTCATATGGATAGAACTGGAAACCAATACTTTGTACGTTTTTAACAATTAACAAATTAATATATTTAGATAATAATATTTAATTTAAATTAATAAATAAATGAATAAATTTAAATAAATTAATTTAATAAAATAATATTCGCAATAAACTATTTTAACACTAGGTTTACGGGCGCTATCTGTATACCTATTTCTACATATTTGACACCTGTCAAATTCACAGGTAAAGGAAACCACGTGTCTTTTTTTTGACGATTAGTTTAATTTAAAAACAATTACAATATTAACAGTCTCAATGAAAGTTAACTAAATCTGTTACCATCGTATAATTGAAGCAACCCATCCGTCAAATTGATTCCGTAAATCTAGTGTTAAGCAAAAAGATTGACACTATCTAGAAAATTCTTATCTCTCTCTCTCTTTCACTCTTATTGTTATTATTGTTGTCATCATTATTAAACAATATATCAATAGATTATGAATCTACAAGCTTAATTTAGCTTATTTATATATTTTAATTAAATTCTATTGCATTGTAATGGCTATAACAATTCAATAGGATTTTCCTCTCTTATTTATGTAACAAAATTAACTCACCACGATATTAGTCGAAAATGTCAATATAATTGAATTTTTTAGTCAAATTCTGTTGAACTGTAATGGCTATAACAATTCAAAAGGATTTTCCTCTCTTATTTATGCAAAAAAATTAGCTCACCACGATATTAGTCGAAAATGTCAATTCACTTCACTCTCTGCCAAAGCACTTGGTATAGTCATAACTTTTTAAACTTATGATTCCTCAAAAAGCGGAGTTAATCGATTTTTTGTGCAGTGAACGGCTCAAATGTTGAATTTTCTTGGATGACAAAATGGTTAAATTATTATAGAATAATTGTTTCTATTTTGTATCGTAGAAAATAAATTTATTTTATGACGATGTAACTGAACGTGACAGAAGGTAAATAATAAAATCGTTAAAAAAGATTGGTGGCTTAGGCCACTTTCGTAATTAGGAGCACGTGTTTAATTTACTGGGCGGCAGGTTATTTTGTAAATGTTTTCAAGCCCCGGGTAGTGGAAGATGGGTATTTCAGTGGGCGAGGCTGTGTAATGAAAATTTCGCGTAGTCGTTAAATGCGTAATGAGGATACCTGGCTGCAACAGCCATGGCACGTTGGAATCAATTTCCAGCACGAGCCTGGGTCCCGTGGAATCGATGGGAACAGCGTAAATCCCGAAAAAACCACGATTTACCATCTCGCCCGCTGGCTTCTCGACCAGAAGAAAATTTGTAGTCTTCGCGTGCTTCGATCAATACCCCGACCTCGATCTTGAACTTTAATTATACATCCTGCGCTTCGACTGCGTGGCTCGTTGTTGCGAAATAATTTCAATTACCAATGCGCCACGTGTGCCAGGGAGCATTGCGAACAGCAGCTTTTATTCGCGATTTGCATGTGGCCGTGATTCATCCTCTTGCTGCATCGATAATTGTGACATTTGAAAAATGAAAATAAAAATGAAAATAAAAATGGAAATAAAAAT